TGGGCTAGAGTATTGGGTAACAACTGGTATGTTACAACAACTAGACCAGTCTGCTATCTTCTTGTGGAATTTCATCACAGAGTTTATCATTAATTAAATGCATGACAGAATATTAATAAAATCATATACATATATATTTTTTTAGATTTGTGTTCTTTTCCCCCTTCGTTTCAACAATCACTTTTCTACTTTCCAAAATACTCAAGCCAGCTCCTTACTCCCTTCACATCCGACTGACGGGTGATAAAAGTGAAAAGTTGTTTGACCATTCCTCGAGGGGATTAGATTGTAGGAATATGAGCAAAGTGGCTACTACAGATGCTTGGCGGAAAAGAGTGTGGAGTTAGTGTAGGCGTAACAAAACACGCTGGAATTTAAATACGAATCCGTCCGGTTGGAAGTAAAAGTGATCAAATGACATTTTTAAGATGAGGTTGTTTGCCATCTTCCTGTCTCAGAACCAATTGTTTCTATATTTTTAACATTGAAAACAAATAACACAAACTGCCAAATTCAGAAGCACTTGGAATTGGCTAAATATTCAAAACCAAATTTAGGCCCCCGTACTGACGAAAATGTAAAATTACTAATAATTAATATATTGCTGTATAAAACATCAGGAAAAAACAATTGAACTTTTTTAAATTTCCATTTTAATAATATCAGACAACTAGTTTGCTCCTTTTCAAATCTACCAATAAATTGTATTGGACGTTAAATCTTTAAATTAATTCATTGTGTAGATAATAAACTACAATTAACAAAAGACCGAAAAAATATATTACGATTGTTTACTATTTTACCATTATTACCATCTTTTTACATATTTCATTTTTCATGTATATACTAAAAACAAATTCTGCTTCAAATAAAAGCTTTTTTATTTCTCCTCTTATCCTTCATAAGATTCATTTTCTTAATAGCCCATAACACGTTTACTCTACAAATTCGTCATATAAATATTAATAATGTAAAAACAAAATAATAATTTTAAACTCTTTTACCCAACTATCTCATTTTTCAAAAAATGTTATAGTTAAATATAATTACATGACTTAAATCAAGCCCAAATTAGCTTTTGCTAGCTCAATGCTGTATTTTAATAAAGAATTTTGTAATTTCACATGCTCTCAATGTTGGTAAATCACTTATTTTTATTTACCCAACTATCTCCTTTGTCCTCTCCCTCCCTCTCCCCAAAATGGTAAAATGTAACCATGTTTTATAGAAAAAAATATTAAAAATTATCTTTTAATGTATTATTGTTCATGTAATTACATTTAATATGACTTCAAGAATTACTAAAACACCATTTCATATAGATAGGTAGTATTTTTCTTTTTTTTCTAAAGTAATTATTGTTATATAAATGAAAAAAAAGCTTTCGGGCTGAAGCCCCCCCAAAATTAAATCTCGGATCCGCTAATGCTCACTGATGTATTTTACTAAGGAATTCTGTAATACCACATGCTCTCAATGTTGGTAAATATCTTGTTTATGTTTAATTTATGTATATTATTTTTTTTTTTAACAAATAAATTTAGTTAAGTATTCCAACATAATACTGCTCAATACTTTTAATATCAGTTTTAAAACTCACTTCATTTTTTTTAATACATATTGTACATCAATATATTTTGCATATACAGTAGTGTTAACAGAAATTGCATCACCTAGGTCTTTTGATTTTTGTGTTGTAAACGTTGATTCCATTAAATGTTTTTGTTTTTCTATACTTAGTTAAGTTACAAGAAAACTTAAACAATGTTTCTCACCTCATTTTTAACTAATGCCTAGATAAAAACTGTAATCATGACCAGCTTCAAAAAAACTTTCCTCGTCAGAAAATATTAAAATTGTGATGTTTCATGAAGTGAAGGAATTTCCACGGGAAATAGTATCGAGGATAGATTCAGTATAATAATTATTAAAATTATTCTTTAAAAAAATGTTTAGATACCTCAAAACTATTAGTTAATGAAATAAAAAAAAGAAAGATATTCTTTTTCAAAGATTGGTAAATTTTATGTAATACCAATGATATTTCTTTAAGTAGTTTCCACAATGCCAATATTAAATTACATTAAATCATTAAATTAAAATAAAAATAAGTCTGACGACCCAATTTAAATTAGCAGCAGAAAATACTTAATTCAGCAGAAAATACAACATCACTTGTTGTATAAATAAATAAATTTCCATGATGACAAATTGGACCCCGATAACTTGGATACTCTAAGTTGGGAGCGAACTATTATACCTGAATATGTGTAATGAGTAATAGTTTTTTAATGAGAATGAGTTGTGCTCTTTATGTAATCTTAAAGTAGAAGAAGGTATTTATCATTTTATAGTTGTATGATCCGTTCTGGCCTAGTTTAGAATAAAATATTTCAATAAAACAACATTAGATGCATTAGAATTTAAATTTTTTATAAATAGTAAAGATTGGAATAAACTGGTTAGTTATTATAGGTAGTCTGGCAATACATATATCAATTAATAAAACAATTTGATTATTAACAACCTTATTAAAATGTATACAATGGCTGTTTAAGTTTGTCTTTTACCATGATGTTTTCAAATGTTAATACCTAGTTATTAATTACAAGAAGATGCAATTTATATATTTTATTTTATTATTAGATTTTTATTTTATAAATTTGTGATTTTGTATATGTGTAAATTAATTAGAAATAAAGCTATCATTATTAAATAGTGACGATATTATTATTAAATAGAACCAATCGACAGAATTCATAGTTTAAAAAAAAAAAATCCTTCTCAGAGCATCATGGAACAAAAGAAAGGAACTGGGAGGAGAAAAAAGCAAACGAATAATTTTTAGAATATCGCTTCAAAACTGACAAAGAAATGTCTAGAGTTCTTGCAGATGGCGATCCATTAAATAAAATAAAATTTAATAAAATGTTTACTGTGTGATGAAATTTCTATGAACACGAGTGCAATCTTTAAGGTTTCTATATGCACAATATATAATATTTTAATTTTAATATTTTAAAGACTGTTGCATTAACAATAATACCGCGAAAATTTCCCGATTTTGTCAATAATGACGACATTTGTTATATCAGTAACAGGTAGAAATCGAAAAAATATCAGGTTCGTAAAAATGTCAGTTGATCACTTTTATCTTCACCCTGACGATTTGACAAACTGCCAGGAGTTTTCGGATAACTACAAAATAAATAAATGATTTAAAATTAATTTAAAAGAGAGGATGGATACGTTTCCGATTGGTTTTAGAGCCCTTGGAACTCTTTGAACTAATGCAGCGGACAACGGCACTTCCTGACTCACCAATTGGGCTGTTCAATCACCCATTAACGTAAATTAACAGGGAGTATGAAAAAACTACTTCGAGAATTATATATCATATATACTCAACAAGAAATAAATATACCTATTAATTAATATTTAAATTTAAATTGAACTGAAATTATCAATAATAAAATATGTAGTGCGCGCATCGCAAAACTTTCACTTTAGATTAGACATTAATTTCTTCTCCAATAGCCCAAATTATAGTTAATATTTAAATCTATTATCAATTAAACTAAATTATTTAACGTTGTGAAGTTTTTCCACCTGTAAACACAACTTGATATTATTTTAGTAACATATACTTTTTCATGGGTTTAATCAAAATTATTAGACTCGTTTTAGTGAAAATTGTAAACAAATAGGATAACAGTTAAATAAATTGGTACTTTACGAAACTTTTCTTATGAAGTTGGCTGTGCGAGGCTTAAAAAGTATTGGATTGTTCGGAAAATAATGCAGGATTTTGAATATCCTTTAAAATACCACTCTATATAACAAACTGCTTACGTTTACTGGATTATTCATTTGTATGAATGTCAAAACTTATTAATCCTCTTCAAAAAGATAATGTTTGCTTACCTCTGGAGCATTTCGCTGCTTAGAAATAATCCAGTCTTTACTAAGATGTTAACGCGTGATTTCCGTATAATTTGGTTTTACGAGTTTAAACTCGGCCGGAATTTAGTCCAGACATCCAGAAACAACAATGAAGTCTGGGGCGAGAGCAGCATTAATGAGAGCACTGTTCAACGGTGGTTCGAAAAAATTCGGGAGGGAGACTTCAGCCTAAAAGACAAAGAAGGTCGTGGAAAGTCTTCCTCTCTTGATGACGATGTTCTGCAGGCTTTGGTGAAAGAAAATCCCAAAACAACTGTTTATGAAGTTGTAGGGAAAATTAACCTGAGCAAATCGACCGTCGGTGACCACCTCGTGGCGGTTGGAAAAGTAAAACAGCTTGAAAGTTCTGTTCCACACACATTAAACGACCACAAAAAAAAAACAAAAAAAACAGCGTTATGAAGTTTGTTCTACACATCTTTGCCGAAACAAAAACGATCCTTTTCTGCCCAGAATTGTTACTTGTGATGAAAAGTGGATACTTCACGTTAACAGTAGACATTCTGGACAGTGGCTCGACAAAATTGACGTAGCAAAACATTTTCCAAAGCACTCAAGTCAACAATAAAAGGCGATAGTTACTGTTTGGTGGGTGGGCTTCACTTATTTCGATACACTACATCTTGTTAAATCCTGGAGAAACCATCAAATGCTGAATCGAATTGTAACCAAATTCATCAGAAATTGGCCATAGTAATAGGAGCTATACATACTTCAATCCGAAACTCCCAGCCAGGTATACAAGAATTTATTAGTTTGTTAGTAATTGATCATACGACTGAAATAAGAGTTGTCTCATATATTCAACATGTATAAGAATAAAACATGTTTAACGTATGTAATTATTTAATCCTTATGAACATTATCTTTCGATTAATTAGCCAATAGTCGAGTAGGAGAAAGTACGGTTTTGCATATCTGTCTTGACGGTACGTCAGAAGTCAATATGTTATCTCAATTGGAATTTCACCCCTTAGCCTTCGTTATTGATTTAATTTATCCTTAAATAAAATGTTAACAAATATGACAGTATTTACCTTTCCTAACTAGCTCCCAGAAAGAGATCTCTTAGGACAGTTGTACATAACAGGATGGTTCAAGAACGAGTAAGCTCAATAGTCCCTCATGCGCCTCTCCTGGCGGTCGCCTATTAAATTAAAAATAATACATATAAACATTGCTAAATAAAAAAGTATATGTTCTTAAATAATAAGTACAATGAATATTTATTTATAAGTATTTTAGATAATATGACGAGGGCTCAATAGTATAGATTGGGTAATAGCTACTCTACTCATATTGGTTGAGTAGTTGATCACTAAATTCCGGCTCGGTTCCCTCCGTTGTCATTATACAGTTTCCGCTAAGAGGGTAGCCTAATTCAGAAAAAAAAATTTCAGCATGAGAATTATTAGCCCGATCACCAAACATTTCGACTGCCTTCATGGCGTCTTCAGTTGGTCTCATATCTATGGCATCAAGACATCCTGGTATTGGTTTGAAAGTCGTCTGACTAACAAATTTGGGAAAGTTTAGTTTTCACACAAAAACCACTTGCAAACAGCGTTTGAAATCGATAATTAAAAAAAAATCAAATTCTTGAGCTGTTTTTATATTTTATCATAAGTAATAAAAATCTTTACAAAAGTTTTACAATTAACAATCATAGTAATTCTGGGTAATACTTTTCATATTTAAAAATATAATTTTTTTGTAATCTGCATAATATTTTGAGTCTAGAGTAGTAAAGAGATTTTATTTAAAAAAAAAAAAGATAAATGTTTTATGTCGCAACGTTCTAATTCTTGATTTATTGTAATGCAACGTGGAGTTCGGCAGCAGTATGATATATATGATATAGAGACACAATATATATATATATATATATATATATATATATATATATTCTGTTCTTGCACATTGTACCTAACTGTTGCAAGACCAAAACCCAGATTGGTAAAACAAAATCGGTTTTTTAAATAACAATTAAGGCAAAATAGTTACTAATATTGACAATCTTAGTTACAATATGTTAATAATTGGTATAGTCAATATACTTTTGCATTTAAGTCTTCCAATTTTTCATTTTAATTGGACTTGCTTAAGTTTCTTCTATCTAAAAAATTACAGTAATATCTCTATAGTAATAAGCTAATAAGTAACTGCAAGACTCTTGCGCAAGACCAAGACCATGACCAAGACTGCGTTTGCAAGACCAAGACTCGTCTCAGTCTCGCATTTGGGCAACACTACTTACAGCATGAATACAACACAAAAGTAATATGCCACTTTTGACGATAAATTTGTGAACAAATTTTGTGAACTTCCGAAGAATCTCTTTGTTCCAGTCTTGCTCACTTATTTAACATTCATTACGGAAAATATAAGAAATAAAAAGATGACTTTACCTACTCAATGAGATCGCAACGACCCCGAAGTGGGACAGTTTTCGCCCGACACAATCGAAGGAGATCCAGGAGTCGGCAGATGTAGATAGCGGTAAGAGAAACGAAGGCTATTGTCAGATGGTCGATCCGGCAGATAGGTTGGCCTAGAAATTTGTCCGCACGCTTCCGGCACAAAGAAAAAAAGAAATAAAAAAAAACTGGGTGTAACCGTCCTCTTGGGCAGTTTTTCAACTGATGGCGTTCCTTCGGCTCCGCAGTTTGTGTAACTCCTCACCGGAACGACTCATGCTGGCTCAGTTACGCCGTTCCATGTAACCCTTTGTGAGCTTTCTAAGAACGTCATCTGTCTTCCGGCGAGCCATGGCGTAGGTGTTGGCAAAACTGTCATATCAGGAGTTATGTGCAAGAAGTTGACTGTAGAGTTGATGGGCTCTTAAGGAAGTGGCTGTTTCAATATTTGCCGTATCGTGAAATCATGATTTAAATCATATCTACTAAAGTTACTACAAGAACTGAAATATTTAACATTTCCTCTCAACACTTTTATAGTAATCTCAATTCCTCCCATTCTCTCGCCGCAGAATGCAACATTTAGACAATCACTTTGATATTATTTTGATAATGATTAAGCTTCCTGTTTATTTGTGTTTTATGGTTATGTAAAACTATTTTCATTTGCTTGAAGTTTTTTTTTGTATTTCTATTGATGAGGTTCCTCTCCATTATTAGTGATGAGTCTATTTTTCGTTTTTACGGTAAGTGCATACAAAAAGATAATCATATATAATAATAACACCTACACAGAACATACATACTTATATAATATACAATGGTATTATTCTTGGTGAACATAACTAAAGGATGACATTCGATAGTTGATATTATCGAAAAATCGATCTTTTCTTTATTGTTGGCAATAAAAAGAAGTTCCAAGTATTAAACAAATGGTTTATTTGTTATAATCATTTTAAATTGATGTTTCGAGAAATTATTCCTATCTTCATAACTTTGTTCCCATACTTCATAGCAATAAATGGCTAAAAAGGATTTACAATTAAAATCAATATATGTTAAAAACTTGTCAATGTGATATTGTTACATAATTTGCTATATTTGCCTGAAACATTGTGTGCTCCCTAGTCATAATTTAAAGTTTTTGTATTATAAATAATAATAAAATGTCTGGACCACGAAAAGTTTAAGGTTTAATTGGTCAAATTATTCAATTTGCTATTAAATTCAATTATTCATTAATTGTTGAAATTATGTAACAACATTAAACTTACAAATTTGTAACATACTATAATTTTAATTGTATATATGTTCTAGGCATTTATTGCTATTAAGGATGGGAATAAATTTATGAAGATGGGAATAACTTCCCGAAACATCAACTTATGATGATTACAACAAATAAACCATTTATTTATTACTTCGAAGTTTTTATTCTCAAATTAAAGGAAACTAACAACTTTCCAACAAATTACAGAGCTGTCATGGAGAACTACCAACTAGTAGTTTCTTTACAAGTTGCTCTCATATTATTGCTGTCACAGATAGTACCTTAATCGTTGTTCGTATATACCAAAACGAACCTGAAGAGTATAAAAGAGCTGAGGACTGGAGGAAGGGTTTAGCTAATATATATTAAATTACTGAGAATCACAATTATTAATATTTACAAGTTTAATTCTCAAAAACTTATACGAAAAAAAAGAAATTAGAATGACTGAGCAAATCAATTTGAATTTTTTTTACTTATTAGGTAAAAACGAAACCTAACCACTTGCAAGTCCAGTTAATTTTTCTTCTTTTACATAATAACTACTTAAATAAGAAATTAAAAAAAAAAAAAAAAAACATTACTTCAGACCCGATTTACTAATATATATATTTGTAATCGAATAACTTAATTATTAATTGAACTAAGCACGAGAGGTGTTTTAGTGATCATATTAATATTATAAGGGTGTAAAACATACAGCTTTTTATCATGATATGTTTATATTTCCAAACAACAAAAATAACTTAAGCAGCATCAGCATTATATCATGCTTAAGAAACAGAATAAAATTTGGCTTTATATAAGCCAATAAGGTCAAGTGATAGGTTATAAAAATAAAAATAAAATAATATTATTATAAATTGTATGTTGCCTCAAAAAGGTTAACTAAATAATAATAATAATTTTCTACTATTTTGAAATTATTTCTTTCTTACTACTCATATGAATGAATATATCACACGTCTATATTAATAATTATCTGAAATTACTCCATGAAAAATAAAAAATATTTTACACAAACATGCATTTTGAACTGGCCTTTTTGTTTTATTATTAGAATCCATTGCGATATTAATGATCATTACATGCGAGGATAATGAACTATAGGAATCGATATCTTGCATCAAATAATCCAATCGATATTATCGTGCCTTTGTCGATATCTCTGCGGGGTCCTATGGTTTATGGCGGCCCAGATGGTTTGCCTGCTTTCCAATTCGGTGTCGTCTATGGAAATCTCAAGGCTGAGCTTCGGAAGTTTCTGTCTTCGGTGCATGCAATGCAAATTTTTACTAAAGAAATTTCTCGGAATTTCAAATGAAATTTCTACCATACGAATCGAGGAAGTTCAAGGTGCAGCATTCCGCTTTCCGCATGTCCTTGGCGATCGTATCTGATATAACGTACCTTACTAAATCGATTGAGATCTTTTAGAAATTAAATTATTATAACATATATTATTATTTTTAGATAGCATACGGTATTGTTATGAACTAAAGATTGTATTTAAATATTGGCAGGAATAAACACAACAGATCATGAAACAAATACTAAACTAATTTATTCTCTTAACATAAATTATTAGAATTTATACCAAACTAGACAACAAGATGTTGTTGATAAATAATGTCTCTTCTTAACTTCTTTTCCTGAATTCTTAGCTTAAATTATTTCACAGTTTATTTAATTCTAATTCAATCTGGAAAAAGGCATCATAAATGATTGGTCCGCGATAGTGTCTTAAAAATTAATTCCATGATTAATTAATTAAAAATTAATTCGGAGGATCATATCTATCTTATAAAATGTGTAAATTAAAACTTTGGTGCAAAAATAGTGCTTTAAAAAAGGAGAAAAAAAAGTCCAGAAGAAATATTAAACATTTGGAACGGTATATGTCGAATATGTTGTATAAAAATTTATTCCTGTTTTTGAAAATTGAAGGACATTTGTATAGCAGAAAATACCAATAGGTACCAGTACTGATTGGAATGGCACTGGACTGCAAAATCTCTTATTAGCATAATTAAAAAAAACTGAAAATAAATTATAAAAAAAAAAGAGATTGAAATTAAGTATCTCTTTTATTTTATTTATATTTTTGTATATCTCATGTGTACATGGGTTAAAATAGATTCTATTCTGCAAAAATGTGATTTCTATTTCCATATAAGAATTATGTCCAATAAAACTCATATAATTAATAGTAGGGAAGGGGAGACTTTCGGGCTGAAGCCCTCCTCCCTCAAATAGTGAAATATATCCATGTCTTATGAAAAAAAATTGTTTCTAAAATTAATATTGTTCGTTAATTACATTTAAGAATCACTTAAATACCATTTCTTGTAGGTGGTTACTTTTTTTCTCTTTCTTTCAAAGTAATTACCATAATATATATAGAAAAAAAAAAGCTTTCGGACTGAAGCCTCCAAAATTAATTCCTGGATCCACTA